AATTATTTTTGAATTTGAGGTTTAGAATGAAATTGAGGACTATTTTACAAGTTTTAAAAGTTATAGGACCTAAATGTAAGATCTTGAAAAGTCCTGTGACCATTTATATAATTTACCCTAATTTTCATAGCTGCAAACGGTGATCTCGCTGCCACTTCAGCATCTTATAACGGCAGTGTGACGTCGGAGACTATATTATAAACGAACTAAATGTTGGGGGTTGTATTGCAAATTTTAAAAGTTGAGGGACCTAAATGAAAGCTTCAGAAAAGGTCAGTGACCATTACTATACTTTACCCTAATATTTATATAATTAAGTTTTTGTCAATTTTTAATGTATTTTTGTTTTTAATTTTATTTTGGTTATTTAATTTTAATTTTTTTCAATATGATCATTAAAATTTTATTCTTTTAAGTCACTTGTCAAGTCTTCAACGCCTCAATGTTACAGTACAAATTCATCTTCTCCCGTTATGGTTGTAGACAGGATTAAGTGGATCTTTAGAAACACTATGCGGCCAAGGATTCGGTGCAAAACTTTACCGGATGCTGGGGATTTACCTCCAATCATCGTGCATAATCTCATGCTTTTTCTCCATCATCATATCCATCTTATGGTTCTACACCGAGCCCATCCTCATCTTGCTCCAACAAGATGCCCAGATTTCAAAAACCGCTGCTCTCTACATCAAGTACCTGACCCCGGGCTTATTTGCCTACGGCTTCGTTCAAAACGTACTCAGATTTCTTCAGACGCAAAGCATTTTGCTGCCGCTGGTTTGGTTTTCGGTCATTCCGATGGGCATTCATTTAGGCGTTGCTTACGCTTTGGTGAATTGTACTGATCTGGGTTTCGCGGGAGCTCCGTTGGCGGCTTCGATTTCGCTGTGGATTTCGTTTCTCTCGTTGTCGGTTTACGTGTTCTTCGCTAAGGAATTTGAGAAGACCTGGGAAGGGTTTTCGTTGGAATCGTTTAGGCACGTTATCACGAACTTGAAGTTGTCCCTCCCTTCAGCCGCAATGGTTTGGTAAGTTGAAGGACTGGTTTCTCAATTTTCATAAAGTATTAGGATGAGATTCGTAATTAAACGGGTTTTTAGTTCCGAAATTTTGATTAAATTATTACAGCTTGAAACCTTACTAAAAGTTGATCTTTCTATTTTCCCCAGTTTGGAATACTGGGCTTTCGAGCTTCTTGTGCTGTGTGCAGGGCTGATGCCTAATTCAGAATTAAATACTTCATTGATTGCAATGTGGTAAGCAAAACATTCAATGTTAATTGCCAGTGGATTTTAATGACGGGTTGACGAAGCAGATGGGTTTTAATTTTCGATATTATTAAGGTTTAGTGATGGGTTCATCGTTTTTAATTTCTATCGATTTAGTTCTCAAACTCTCTAACATTATTCTTTATAAATATCGATGTAATTTACAAAGTTTGAGGACCAAATTGGTGAACTTAGAAAAAGATATAGCATTGTTGATTTTGATGCAATTGGCTTCATCTAGTTTAAAGCTTTTGTTTTTTTTATTCCAAAGTGTGAATACAGAAGCAATTGCCTACATGACAACTTATGGCCTCAGTGCTGCTGCAAGGTAAGTTAAATTATTATCTTTTGAGTTATTAATATTCCTCCATTTTGCCCAAGATTTATAAATTATATGACACAGCACAAGGGTTTCGAATGAGCTAGGAGCTGGGCATCCAACTCGGGCCAAGAACGCCATGGCTGTCACCCTCAAGCTCTCGGTCCTCCTTGCACTTGTGATTGTGCTTGCTCTGGCATTTGGTCATGATATCTGGGCTGCTTCCTTTAGCAACAGTTCTTTAATCATCAACCAATTCGCTTCAATGACACCCCTTCTTTTGATCTCCATAACCATCGATTCTTTTCAAGGCGTCCTATCGGGTATGTTATTATTAATGGTGAACTAAAAGCAAAGTTTAGAAAATATGATTATTGAAGATGGAAGTTCATAAATGTTGCAGGGGTGGCCAGAGGAAGTGGTTGGCAGCTATTGGCAGCATGGGTTAATATGGGGACTTTTTATTTCATTGGAATGCCAATTGCAGGCCTTCTTGCATTTAAATTCAAGCTTTATGCTAAGGTAATACACTACTACATATACATATATATTTAAGGGTAAATTATCCTATTGGTCTCACTAAACTATGGGGTTGATTCTTTTTTTTTTTGATAAGGAATTCAGGCCTTGTTAAAAATCCCCTTCATGATTAATGGAGCTTGTAGTGAAGCTCCTTAATCACAAGCTCCTTAATCAGCGGAAGGAGGAAAAGAACGCCTTAGGATTTTATTCAACAAAAGGAGTTACATAAGATACATCTAGAAAACCTCAAACAGAACCCTAAGAACAGAAAATGAACCTAAACAACCAGAAACAACAACATAAATTCAGCCTATTCCTTCTTTAGCTAAGGCATCAACCTCTAGATTGGCTGTCCTATTAACCCATCTAATAACACCTTCAAATACATTAAGTCTATGAACAATGTCTTTAATAATATAAGCATAAATATCAGGACATAATTCAACCTCCCTAACCCAATCCACTGCCACCTTGCTGTCACTTTCAATAATCAAACGCTCCTTGATCCGCTCTCGAAAAGAAGTATAGAATAACAAACCCCTTTGAATAGCTTTGAAGTATAAATTTAGTCTATGGGGTTGATTCTATTCTGATCATTAAACTTTTAAGTGAGTTTCAATCAAGACACCGGTATGTTAGCATAAATTTGTATAATAACACATTTGGTTCTCATTACTTATGTCTTCTATCAGTTTGGTCCTCATTACCTACGCATTCATTAGATGTGTTATCATCCTCATTAGGATCAAACTGATAGAATGTGTAACTGATGACGATCAAATGTATTACTATACAAACTGTTAGATGTCGGTAATTCCACTAACAATTAACGATCAATGGCTTAATTTAAATTAATTTGGAAGTTTAGTGTCTTAACTGATAAATTTTTGCTTAAATGATCAAAATAGAATCAACCTCATATCTGATTGATGTGCGATGCATAATAGCAGTTTGGTGTCACTTTGACTTGAGGGTTTTATCTCCATAATTGAGTATTAATTTACTCTAATTTTGTGATTTATTTTCTTTCCAGGGTTTGTGGATAGGCTTAATATGCGGTCTCTCCTGCCAAGCAGGTGTCCTCCTATTAATCACTATGTGTAGAAAATGGATTAAAATTGAAATTTCAGAAGAAAGTGATAGGCAAACTAAAATTATTGTTTAATTAACCAGCTGTGAATGTATTGTTATAGTTCTAAATGTTAAACTTTACAACCTGATTTATTTTTTAAAATAGTTATATTTTTAAATTGTAGATGTGATTATGGTGTGATAATAATTTTAAAAAAAATATTACTATACAGTTATTTTATTTTATTACAACCGTAATTTAATGTTATAGTTTATGGCCTATGGGTAATATACAAAACCAACATAAAAATTTGATAACTAAATATATTATATTAATTATTTTTCTGTCTAACTAAATTAGTTCCTTTTTTTAAAAAATTGACTCATTCAAAGTGTATTATTAGAAAAATCAATAAATAATATTTATATATTTTTTTATTATATTTCCTACTCTTTTACACTTATTAAAAATAAGTATATCAAATCTATCAATATCTTTTATGAGCTTATTTTAGTTTCTCCCCATGGTAGTTTTATTATCTTTTTATTTTATTTAACTAACGTTTCATCATAAATTAAATTGATATTTTTTATTAAAATAACGACAAAAACCCGATAAAAATTACAACTTCAATTAAAATTTTGTGATGAAATATTGTATTTTCATCGATAAATTACAACATATTTTAAAATCTTCAGAAATTTATTCTCGGTAATTTAATTTTCTTTTGTAGTGTATTAGTTAAAATACGTATACACCCACCTGTATATCTGAAAAGACTTTCTGAAGTCGCGAACAGCGAGGTGTTAAGATTTCCAGACAAGAAACTGGAGGTTGGTTTTAATGGCAACTACAGATGAGTACAAGATGGATTGACGATGATATAGGACATTACCCGTAGTGCTGAGCAAATCCAAGAACTAGTGTTGCAGCAAATACCGGAGACGAATGGTGGGACTGAGTATCAAAGTGGATCCGTCAATGGCCAAACTGACAAACAATGCTTCAAAGCCAATGTTCCCATTGTCACTTATGAAGATGTTAAGCCTTACATCGATCGGAGTACCGACGGGGACACATCCGACATCCTTTCAACTGAACCGGTCGTCGAGTTCTATACGAGGTGCAAATTTATTTATCATTTAAATGTTCTTGCTATGGTTCCTGTACTAAGTTTTGATTATTTGCAGCACTGGAACTTCAGGAGGGTTGCCCAAGTTGATCCCTGCGACGGTTCAAGTTTATGATCAAAGGGTTCTTTACTTTCTCCTCTTGGCATGTCCGATGAACAAGTAAGAATCTAAATATGCCAATATGATCCATGTCACTGTCATAGTTCAGCACAAACTTAAAAACTGACTGGTTCATGTTTATTCAGACAATTTGGTGACTTAGACAAACCCGGAAAAAGAATGCAAGTTTTGTTTGCCAAATCGGAGACCGAAACTACGGGCGTCGTCAAGGCAAGAACTGTTCTAACGAGTCTGTTGAAGGATAGCTGGCTTCTAACCAACGCTTTCCAAGCTTTACACCAGTCCCATTGAAACAATGTTCTGTTCGGACAACAAGCAGAGCATGTTCTGTCCATTACTAATTGGTTTAATACAGCGAGACCAGGTCGTTTCAGTTGGCTCGACCTTTGCAACCGTTGTAATTATTTTGTTGTGAAGCTGTTTCATCTGTTGTTAGAGGTTATAAAAATTAAGAGAACATATTCTACAAGGTGTATGTTTGAAGCAAATGGCTACTTCTCAACTAGCTTGAAAAATAGCCTCACAGGTTTAGGAAACAAACTTTTACCATACTAAAATAACGACCATTTCACCCTACACCAAATATAAATTTGGTTATACCATCTTTTAATCGTTTAGCACACAAAACATACTTATTTAGGGAAAGGAAATTACAACAACTTCGGTTTTCTTGGGCTAGAAAACCTTGCGATCACTCTCGAGTCTAAAATTTTAAGAGCATCTTTAGATTTAATGCAAGCAGGTCCTTTGTATTGACTCACAGAAGCTCCTTGGGTCACGTAATAATCCATTAATGCTTCGAAACTTGCTTGTTTTACCACCCTAATCTCCAATGCTGCAATTGCATTCTCCTTCCTATACATTTTGTATATAAAACCCAACGACTCTTCCATTTTATAGCAACATTCCTCCATTATCATCGGATCGAGCTCTTTGGTATTGTCGTCGCCTTCTTTTGTCATAAGCTCCCAAAATATGACATAGTGACCCGGTATCGAAGATGTATCAACATAGCTGGTGTACCATCTCAGGATGAATCCAAGAGGATCAAGAAGAGTCTTTGCTTCCGTTACCGCCTTTAAGAGATCCGATTCGCTCGTTTTATCCGACTCCACACTCAGAATTACATTTTGCGTCTCCACAAATTGGAATTGAGGCGCGTTATTATGGAAACCGGTCACCTTAAGAATATCTCCAACTTTGTATCTATATAACCCTGAAAGGAAAATCAATGTTACAGTTAGTATAGTACTAACTTATGGCCGCAACACAGCGTAATAGACTCACCATAACGAGATTTTTAAGGTCACAGTTAGCAATAGTCGAACTTTACCTGCAAAAGTTGTGACAAGTAACTCATAATATTGACCAAGCCTCACATTTACAAGATCCACAGGTTCACTCTGAATCTGTTCGGACATCGTTGCGCCGTCTTTGTTGACGGGGAGGAATTCGAAGTAAGCCATGTTGGGGAGAAACGTGTAAGAGACATCAGAAGGTTTGGCCAGAGGCTCTAAATTGAGACCACAAATGGCTTCTGAGCACATATAAATACTCGACACTAGAGGGAGCCCTCCGCCGTAGAATTCAAGTGTTTCAACGTATTGGCTCATAGAACCTGTTGTAATGCCTCTAATATACTCGGCTTTAGGCCAAAGCTTTTTTAGTATTCCTTCCCATGATTCACAACTACATATGTTTCGGATCGAATCGGACAGTTCCGGATTAGGCTTCAGGATCAAGGATACTGCATTTCTGCAGCCGGAATCAGTGATCCAATCGCTAAGTCGACCTGTTTTTATGTTGGAGCATAACTCTTCATAGTGATCTTCTAAAAACTTGATAGCTCTTAGCACAACGGTAGCAAAAGTCGAGCCAACTGAAACCACCTCGTCTCGCTGTATTAAACCACTTAGTAATTGACAGAACATGCTCTGGTTGTTGTCTGAACAAAACAATGTCTCAATGGGGCTTGTGCAAAGCTTGGAAACGTTTGTTATAAACCAGCTATCCTTCAACAGACTTGTTAGAACAGTTCTTGCCTTGAAGCCGCCAGCGGTTTCAGTCTCCGGTTTGGCAAACAAAACTTGCATTCTTTTACCGGGTTTGTCTAAGTCACCCAATTGTCTGAATAAACATGGACCAGTCAGTTTTTGGATTCTGCTGAACTATGACAGTGAAACGGATCATTTTGACATATTTTTCTTCACTTTCTTTCACCTAAAATTATAAGCTAACAGCCAAGCTATAAAAAATTAGTCTTACTTGTTCATCAGACAATTCGAGAGGAGAAAGTAAAGAACCCTTTGATTGTAGACCTGAGCCGTCACAGGTATCAACTTGGGCAACCCTCCTGAAGTTCCAGTGCTGCAAACAATCAAACAGCGATGAACTTAGTACGAACTAGGAAATATGGCAAGAACATTTAAATAATAAAACAAAGAGACAATAAATTTGCACCTCGTATAGAACTCGACGACCGGTTCGGTTACAAGGATGTTCGATGTCTCGCCGTTGGCAATCCGATCGATGTAGGGCTTAACGTCTTCATAAGTGACAATGGGAACTTTGGTTTTGAAGCATTGCTTGTCAGTTTGGCCATTGATGAATCGACTTAGATACTCAGTCCCACCATTCGTCTCCAGTATTTGCTGCAACACTTGTTCTTGGATCTGCTGAGCATTGGTGGTTAGTTCCTCTATCATCTTCAACCCATCTTTGTTGTCATTTGTACTTGCCATTAAAACCAAACTGCAGTTTCTTGTCTGAAATTTTAACACCTCGCTGTTTGCAACTTTAGAACAGATGAAATGATCCGATCAATGACAGATCAGATCCGGTTTAGAGCTGAATAATATAATTTGAATGAATAAATGGAAATAGAGGATAAGTTCAAGCAATTTACAGTAAATGGAAATAGAGGATAAGTTCAAGCAATTTACAGTATGTGGAGGAGAAGCAATTTAAATAGGGTAAATTTCATAAATAATCATTAATGTTTAAATAAGTTTTTCTTTTATCCAATAATGTTTTAAAAGTTATAATTTGGTCACTGATAGTTTTTATTTATAATAAATCGATCATTTTTGTTAAGAGTTGTCGTTAAAGTAACAAAATGATAATATGGCGCATTAAACCAACTGATCTGATATCATTTGGCCACACTAAAATTTTGACAGACGGTTTGACTCTTCCCGCACAAGTATCTAGACAACGAAGAATAATAAGTTAAAAACAGGTCGACTTAGCTATTGGATCACCGATTCCGGCTGCCGAAATGCGGTCTCCTTGGTCCTGAAGCCTAATTCGGAACTGGCGGATTCGATCCGAAACATATGTAGTTGTAATGGGAGGAATACTCAAAAAACTTTGGCTGAAAGCCAAGCTTATTGATGCCATTACCACAGGTTCTATGAGCCAATACGTTGAAACACTCGAATTCTACGGCGGAGGGTTCCCTATAGTGTTGACTGTTTATATTTGCTCGGAAGCCGGTTGTGGTATCAATTTAGAGCCTCTAAGCAAACCTTTTGATGTCTCTTACACGTTTCTCCCCAACATGGCTTACTTCAAATTCCTTCCAGTGAAGAACTGCGGCACAACGATGTCCGAACAGATTCAGCTTGCTGGTGAACCTGTGGATCTTGTAAATCTGAGGCTTGGTTAATAACTCAATATTATGAGTTACTTGTCCCAACTTCTGCAGATAAAGTTTCACTATAACAATCTTAGTATGAGGTTACGGTGTTCCGATGAGCTTGAAAACTGTTAAGAAGTGGCCGTTACAATGAGTTGCGGCTGTAAATTAATACTATGCTAACTGTACCATTGATTTTCGTTTCAGGATTATATAGATACAAAGGTGGAGATATTCTTAAGGTCACTGGTTTCCACAATAACGAGCGTCAATTTCAATTTGTAGAGAGGCAAAACATAATTCCAAGTGTGGATACAGATATAACAAGTGTATCAGATCTCATAAAGGCAGCGACAGAAGCAAAGACTCTTGTTGAACCGTTCGGGTTCATCCTGAGATGGTACACTAGCTATAGAGATACATCTTCCATACCGGGTCATTATGTCATATTTTGGGAACTTATGGAAAAAGAAGGTGACGATGATACCAAAGAGCTCCATCCAATGATATTGGAAAGTGAGTGTAAACGAGAATATACACAGGAAATCAACTTGACTTTGCATATCAGCTGGTACATTGTATTTATACAAGTAGGTTAGGCTCTCATCAGCTCCATTAACCATCTAATAAGCTAACCACCTTGGCATAACCAATCTAACAAACTAACCGCCTCCTCATGCACACGTGCAACTTTGACAGTAATCTAACATTCCCCCTACTATTTCTTTTCTCCCCTTTTTTTTATGAACTCTACTTATACAACAGGCACGACACACACATTTCTCCGAAACTCTTCAAAAGTCGTCTTCGACAAAGCCTTGGTGAAGCCATCTGCAACATGGTGCGCTGCTGGTATGTAGTTTACTAACAATTGTCCGGTTGCAACTTTTTCCCGTACAAAATGCACATCCATATCAATGTGCTTAGACTGGGAGTGGTAGATGGCGTTTGCGCTCATCGCGACAACCCCTGTATTGTCGCACCAGATCACCGGTTCCTGGCGTTGCGACAGCCCGAGATCATTAAACAAGGCACCTACCCAGGTTACCTCAGCAGCAGTGTCTGCTACACACTTGTACTAGGCTTTCATTGTCGATATTGACACCGTTTTCTGCTTCTTCGAGCTCCAGACAACAAGACACTTTCCAGCAAAGACACCATAGCCAGAATTCGATTATCGATCATCAATATTTGCTTCTCAGTCTGCATCAGCAAAAGCAGTAACTGACAGACAATCATCTCTAGGTTGAAACATCAGTCCATAATTAACCGATCTAGTTAGATACCGCAATATTCTTTTGACAACAACCATGTGAGTTTCTCTCGGAGCGTGCATAAATTGTTCCACTTTCCCAACGCTATATGCCAGGTCTAGACGCGTGTGACACACATACAATAAATATCCTACTATACTACGATATTCGGTTGCATTAGAAAGCAATTACCCCTCATTTGCTAACAATTTGGAAGACAAAGTCATCGGTGTTCCACAACTAGCTGCTCTTGCCATACCAGATTTTTCCAGCAGCTCTAGTATGAACTTCTTTTGGCTCAGTACAATAGTGTCTCATGACCGATGCACCTCAATACCTAAAAAATAGCTGAGTAGGACCAAGTCCTTGAGCGAGAATTTTTGACTGAGCGATTGCACCACCTCTCGTATCCGAGCAATAGATTGTCCAGTGATGACAATATCATCAACGTATACTAGTACATAGACATCATTGCCATGATTCCTATTGACAAATAAGGAAGAGTCTGCACGAGACGAGACAAATCCCATTTCCACAAGACTGGTTTTAAGCTTAGAGTGCCAGTTTCGGGGTGCTTGTCTAAGGCCATAAAGAGCCTTTTGTAACTTGTAGACGAGAGGAGAACCATCTGCAACCACTTGCTCGAAGCCTGGTAGTTGCTTCATAAAAATATCTTCTCCTAAGTCCCCGTTGAGGAATGCGTTGTTGATGTCCACATGCCACAATTCCCATCCGTTTGTCACAGCCAGAGTTAACACAACATTGAAGGTGTGAAATTTTACAACTAGACTAAAGGTGTCAGTGAAGTCACACCCTAGCACCTGGGAGTAGCCTTTCGCAACTAATCTGGCTTTATATCGATGAACAGTGCCATCTGGGTTCCGTTTGAGTTTAAATAACCATTTGCAGCCTACGGGTGTATGACCTGTTGGTAGCTTCACTAACGGCCATGTGTTGTTTCTCTGAAGTGCCTCCATCTCGTCTCGAACTGCCTCACTCCAGTTGACAGATTGTAGCGCCTCATGAATTGAGGCAGGTATATTGTTCTCAAAACAAGCAGAGTAAGACTTGGGTTTGAACACCCCACACTTGTTGCGAGTAAGCATTGGATGGCAGTTTCGCCTCACCAAATCTATATCACCAGCCTCATTCGAGGCATTATGACGTGTAGTTGCTCCTGCATTAGCATGCACGTCTGAGTCAGCTACATTGGGACCTGTAATCGGAGTAGAGGTCGTGGTTGCATCCAAAGCAACAATAACCTCATTGGTTGGCTCTAGCGGGGTTGTAGCTTCAGCAACAACCTTGGTTTGTTGTGCTTGGTCTAAAACAACTTTTTCAGCCACACCATCTTCATCACGAGAAGTACAATCCACATTTTGCCACCTTTTCATATTGGTAACAACTGGAATATTTTGTGACCGAAAAATAGTAGCTTTGTGCTGAGAGTTGACTTCCTCTTTACCTGTAAATGGAAACACCATTTCATTAAACACCACGTGTCGCGAAATATAAACCCTTCCATCACCTGCAAGGCATTGGTAACCCTTATGCCGAGGACTGAACCCCAAGTATGTGCAAGGTTATGAGCGAAAGGACAACTTATAGTTTTGAAATGGCCTTAGGTGAGGAAAGCACTGGCACCCGAAGACTTTTAGAGCAGTATATTCGGGTTTCTTGTTGAACAACTTTTCAAATGGTGATAGCCCTTCAAGTACCTTGGTTGGTAGCCGATTAATGAGGTGCACGGCTGCTGTCATAGCATAAGACCAGTACTGAATAGGTAAGGACGCCTGAGCCAGCAAGACCAGTCCAAGCTCGACTATGTGACGATGTTTGCGCTCGACAACACCGTTCTGCTCTGATGTGTGAGGGCAAGACAGTCGATGCACTATGCCTGCTTGGGATAGCATCATAGAGAAAGGGCGATATTCTCCTCCCCATTCTGTTTGAACTGCCTTAACCGATGCACCAAACTGATTCAATACAAGCTTGTGGAAAAGCTCGAAGGCAGATAAGGCTTGAGCCTTGTCTTTTAGAAAATATACACATGTAAACCGAGTATATGTATCTACAAACGAGATGTAGTATCGAAACCCATTAGATGCAACGTGTGGGGGTCCCCACAAATCTAAGAAAACAAGTTCAAATGGACTTTTATAAAGAGTTTTAGAGGAATCAAAAAGAAGCTTGTGGCTTTTGCCTATAAGACAAGCCACACACGTTTTATTAATCTCAGAATCAAGCTTTACATTGACTTCTTTAGCTACTTTATCTAAAGCATATTGAGCTAGATGTCCTAGGCGTCAGTGCCGTAGTTCGGATTGAACTCGAGTAACATCGCAGTCACGACATGAGCAACAACACCAGGTTCTACTCTATTTAAACAATCAAAGGCAAAGGTGTACATGCCATCCTTTTCTTCACCTTGCAACAGAACATCCCTAGTTGATTCATCTCGAACATAACATTTTCCAGCATGAAACTCAACATAAATTGCATTATCCCTAGCAAGCTTAGAGACCGAAAGTAAATTTTATGTTATACGGGGCACATGCAATAAGTCATTCAAAAATAAAGCTCTTGAAGAGTCCATAACTAAATTACCAATATTGTGAATGTCAAGAGAAACCCCATTTCCCACAGTTAATTTACCTAGACCTCTAAACTCAGTGGAGCTTAGAATGTTATTAAGGTCAGGGGTAACGTGGTGAGTCTCACCCGAATCCACTATCCAGAGATCTGCTGGTTTAGAAGCCACATTAACATGTGGTGTTCGTGCTCTTGTTTGAGATCGACCATTGCAGTAGTCACACCCCGAACTGGATGTTTCAGCAGTTGAATAATTGACATTGGCAGATTAATTTTTGTGAGGTCGAGACTCAGCAGTAACGCACATGAAATCTTCTTTGAAATTATGCCAACAGCGGTCAACGATATGACCAAGCTTGTCGTACAGTTGACATTGCACTCTGGTTCTTCCTTGGCCACGACCAGTAGATCGATTGCC